CTCTCTGTCAACGCTCTCTGGTTTCATTTAAAAGAGTCGATCATCAGATATTGTCCAAGATTAACCTTCAGGGTGGATTTAGCTCGCTAGCAGCCTCGCATCAAGGACCTATCCACGTCATTTACCCAGAATGCTTTGCATGTAAATAAAATGGCCCCGTCCATGTTAAGATATATTTTTAAACTTTTAGTTTTAAAATTATAAAAACTGAACATCCTACAGTATTTTTACAGTCTTTATTTTACAGTTAAAATGTTTGTTTATTAAATAAAGTCTAATGTTACAACTAATCATGGATCCTTTAAAGGTTGTGTAGCTCAGAATTAAGAACTGAAGTTCTGCTAAACCTGTAGTTTCTCAGCTATTTGGGCAGAAAATCAAGGTGTTGTAACCATGAATGACTGCAAATCAAGATGACAAGCCAAAACAAGCAGTGAGCCTAAGCTAGAGGTTATGGAGAACAGTGACACAGTTTACCAAGATGAAAATATCTGCAGCTCAAATAACTTGTTACATCAAACATCTCATCAGAATGAGAACAGAAGGGCACAGCTCCACAGAAAAGCTCATGGTTAACCAATTTACTCCCCCCAACATTCATCAGATCYCCCCACTATGCAGAGATGCTGCCAGAGACCCTCATGTCTGCCTCTCACTTAAACCACAGCCTCTTCCAAGCAGCCAGACCTGCAACAGAGGAGGAGGGGGGGTCACCGAGGGGCCAAAGCAGAAGCTCCTCCCTCCAAAAACATGTTTCTGGATTATAATTTATGGATAACCAGAGCCGTACAGAGACGATACCTAAACTTTTCAAGACATGACGGCAAATTGCTTTGTTCTTTTATTAACAAATTATGTGACAATAATAAAAAAAAAGTCTCGACAACTAAACAGAAAAACTTGCATTGGCAACAAAAAGAACCCTTTCATAATATCTTTTGTTTTACTTTTAATTACAAACTGTTACGCTACACTATGTTGCCTAAATAGTTAAATTTCCGAGGAGCTACAGTTCAGAGTATAGTTCGATGGAAACCAAGACGAGCTCTAGTGTAACAAGAAGGAACAGTCTTCCTTCAATAGAGTTTCTGTGGGGTGAGCGTGTGAGCGACTTGGTCAACGATAAAATACATTTTTAGGTTGATGAGAGTTTTCAGCCGTTCTTGAATCTTTAAATGTTTGTTGTTTTTTTTTTTTTGGCTCTGAAGGTCAGAGGCTTCAGGTCACTTCATGAACTTAATTACATCCCGTGGAAACTGTAAAAATAAAACTAATGTTTGATGAAAGCCCAGTCTTTAAATCCTCAAATCCAAAAGAAACKCTCTGGTGAAGAAAATAAACTCGACACGTCTCCATTCTTCCAGCAGTTTCTGGGTAAACCCGTCCATTTTTTCCGTGAGCTGTGACGGACGACACGAAGGAAACTCAACGCGGGGTTGGTTTCAGACGGTGGCGGTGGGCGGGGCTTGCTGAGGATTGCTGGTGGCTGTGGGCGTGGCTTGTCTCGGCAGCGTGTACATGGCCCCCAGGAACTGGTCGGCGATGCGCCCGGCCTCTCGGAGCCCGCTGAGCAGGGCGCCGTGGACCGTGGCCGGGTAGTTTCTGATGGTGTGCTCGCCGGCGAAGAAGAGGCGCGGAACGGGCTGTGGAAAAAAAAAAAAAGAATAACTCAAACACTTAATTTTATATTCTAACATGGATCAGTGGTGGTGTCAGACAGAAATATTACTCGTCCACTTTAATCTGCACGCCAGCATCTAAACAGCTGGAAAACATCTGTGCTGGCATCAAAAACACACTTTGGTTAAAAACTGTGGGTAAGCTGGGATACCATCTCTGCCCACACACACACACACACACACACACACACACACACACACACACACACACACACACACACACACACGGTATGGGGAGGCTCACCTGCGAGGCTCCAGGAATGGCCGGGCCGGGCGTGATGGGCTGAGCCATCAGGTCGTAGTCGTTACCCGAGGAACCTGCCGCCACGTACGAGTAGGAGCCCCTCGCCCAGGGGTCGGCACGCCATCGAGTGACCACCGTTTCCTTTGGCTGTCACGACAAGAGGCAGCACCACGTGTATTTTAGAGGTTTCCATGATGACATTAGAAGGGACTCGCAAACATCTGGACAGATCCAGCGCTGGCCAGAAATGTTTYAAACCAAAAGCAAATGACTTCTAATGATGGGTGGTTTGGACGCAGCATGAGTGTGAGTGTTTCTCTATACAGCTGCTGGGTTTAAAGACCAGTTCAGGAATGAGTTCTACTTGAAGTAAAATAAAATAAGAAGAAACGCTTTGGTGATTAGAGGACTGTATTGAAAGTGAATCAGTCCTGGGAGGTAATTATCATATAAATGGTGGCCGAAGTCTCCGTGTGCAAACATACCTGAGGTACAGCGCTGCTTCCAAAGATGCCTTTAAGGATTGCAAGGCAGCGTCCTACGATGACATCGTCACTGATGTTCTCCATGATGCCTGCCGCCTCGCCGGCCATCAGAGCCAGCAGGATTGGGGCTGAAAAAGAGCAGTTTTTTTTTAATTGAACTTTTCTGTATATGTGTTTTTTTATAGCTCAAATGAAAATAATGTTGTTTAAATGTTAATAAAAACACAGTGAAATGACTATAAAACTTTTTTTCCCACAGTTGAACGATGTAAACTAGCAAACTGTGCATGTTTTGCACAAGCCGTTTAAAAACCTGCCCATACTTTTCTACATCCTTTCCAAATTTCAAATTCAAACCTAATTTCCCTCTGGGATCAATAAAGTATTTTTGAATTGAATTGAATTGAAATATGGAAGCTGCGCATGCCCTTCACACTAATGTACCCCCATACCATCAGCGAGGCAGACTTCTGAACTGCGCACTGAATGGTTCCTTGTCCTCTTTAGGACGTGATGTGTGGTTTCTCAAAAAAATTTATAAAAATATGAATAAATAACATTTTTCACTTTGCTTTAGTTCATTTTAAACAAGCTTTGGCTCAAAGAAGACAGCAGTGTTTCTGGACAGCGTTCACATGGCTCCTCCTTTGCATGATAGAGCTTTATCCAGTTTGGTGGGGTTGTAGGCAAACCATATAAACGGCAATGGTGCTGAGGTTACCACTTATTTTTAAAGCCTTTTGTTGCCCCATCCCTAATTTAAGATGTGTTGCTGCCACAAAATTAAATGGTACATTTCTTTTGTTTAAACATTTCAGCTTTTACAATGATCCCCTGTGAAGAAATTCTGGGTTTATAATATTTTACAACCACGACGTCCCAACTTTTGCAGAACTGGGTTGTATTCAGACAGCATCTAAACAACGCTCAGGACAAACTGTCACACTGTGCGACACGTGCGTCTCGTCACCTTTATAAAGGTTCCAGAAGAGGAAGAGTTCTCCTCGGCTCGCAGTGGTGGAGCCGACGTGACCAAACAGGTTCACGCTGGGATCCCAGAACACACGGTCAAAACACAACACCACCTGCAAGCATCAAACAAAAATGATCCACAGTTAGAGAACATGGTTAAAAAGAAAAAAAAATAGTCCCAAACTCTGAAGATAATCTTGTGGTCACAGATTTTCCTGACAAGAGAACGGCGGAGCGCCCTCTGCTGGCCAGACGGCAGCAGCTCAGATTGCATAATAATGCAGCATTCTTCTCTGTACTGCAGCAGCGTCAGATCTGCTGTCCTGCTGCAGATGACGAGGGCAGGAGCTGGTGGGCCGGGAGTGACGCAGGACAAAAAGTGTTGACGTTACTAATCTCTTCAACTGCACCTGCTCACACCACTGCTCTGATCCTCGTCTTCACARAGCACAGCGACAAACTGCTCCCAGGGTCACGTCGGATTTTATGTTCAACTCAGAAAATTAATGGATGAAAAGAAACAAAAACGTGTTTGTTGAAGGAACAGGAGTGTGGCCTGCGTCTTTGTAAGCAGTAAACAGAAAAGTCTTAAATGTCGTTGCGTTCCAGGTTATTAACCTGTGAAGGTCAAGCCTGCAGCATGATGACACTGCAGCACAAACACCTCAATAATAACCACATAAAATGATTCAATTATTATTCWATTCAATCTTTATAACTATGACAAACCTCTTCTGGTTAAAAACTCAAGACAGGTGCTGATGAAACATCTCATATACACTCACCGGCCACTTTATTAGGTACACCACGCTAGTAACGGGTTGGACCCCCTTTTGCCTTCAGAACTGCCTCAATTCTTCGTG